AACTATGGCTACTTCTGGCTGCAAGTGGGTATTTAATAGATCACACTGCCTCCTTGAAGAAAATTGTCTATTATACAGGAAGAAGGGAGAGGATACAGTTAGGTAGTTAACAATCATTGTCTGCCAAAGACAATCTTCTTGTCAGATAAGGATATTTGAACAATGGTGCCCAGCGTGACCACTCCCCTTTAGTGACCTTATTTAAGCCTGATTTTTTTTCACTTTTCCCCAATTTAGCTTTTTTTCCCCCAGATGCTTGCTCCTGCAAGCATAACCAGTGTCTTTAAATGTTACACTACAGCTGTACATCAATCTACAGGATTTGCTAAGTGCACTCAAGCTGAGGATGGGGTGGGCAGCACAGCAAAGGTCAACTGAGTCATGTAAGAACGAATATCCAGGCTGGTCCACGGAAGGGCAGCGCCAACTTTTGCACCTGCACAGCCCTGGGTTCCCAGCACAGCTCTGGTGTCTCTGATTCTGGGGTCATCTGTTTTCCCAGAGCCAGGGTTGCCTCAGCTGAAGAGTGGGGTTCGCAGTCCTGACCATCAGGGTCACTGAGGATGCAGCCAGACAAGGACTTTCCTGAAGAATCCAGCAAAGTGATTCTCAGCTGGCCTGCATGTCAGATTCCCCTGGGAATCTTTTTACAAAATACACCATCTCTGGACCCTCCCAGACCTCTGGGGGTGCTGCAGACTGAGGTCATCAGTGCTGTGAATGAGCAGTCCACTGGGGACTACTGGATGCTGGTGTGATGGAGAGTCTCAACACCCATTGGTCCCCCTTCTCTGCCAAACTGGGATCAGTTCCCAGATTTCTGACGCACAGTATGCTGGCTCCACGCCTTTCTTATGGCAAATCGCCTGAAATCCATGCTCACTAGCATTTATTTATTTGCCCCAATAAATTGTAATTAATAAATGATTAATCAATTCCTAACTGAATTAGACTAATGAGGGTTGTTAACTGCCAGTCAGCAGCTGGAGTGGCTCTGGCCAAACTGCATGTAGTCTGCCTCATTAATTGTGGTTTCTGGTGGAAGGGGGTCTGTGCTGCCCTGCTGAGGAGTGCTGGGGCCACCTGGGACCCACCTCCTCTGTTTGGAAGTTTCCCAGGATCAGAGCAGAGCGGACTGTTGGTGAGGAGGGCTGACGTTCCCTCTGGAACACCTGTCCTGAGCCCAGGAGGCTGAGATGCTCAACCCCTCCTGTATCAACCTCCCCTCCTTATCTGGTACCCAGAGTCAGACATCCAAGCCCCATGCAACTCATGAGCTCTGCTTTGAAAGCTTGAATTCGAGTCCCATTTTGAAGAGTCTCCCCTAGGTCCTGAGCTGTCTCTGAGCTGCAGTGAGTGTCAACTTCCCCCCTTCCCCCGGGAGGTGAGAGCCATCTCTCGGCACCTTTGCCCACCATCAGTCATACCAATGAGAGCTGAGGACAGGGTAGGGGGGACAGGGGGTCTTCCTCTCACATGGGTGTTGCCCTGACCCCATGGAATCACAGCTTCAGCTTTTCAAGATGATGCGGCTGACTGGACTTCAGGGCTCCTAGCCCTGGCAGAGGTCATGTCGGCTCCACACCTTTTCTGAGAAGACAAGTGGAGAGTGACAGAGATGGGAAACCCTAATTAGTAGAATGATCCACCCGCCATGTGTCTGCCTGCAGATGTGGATCTCAGGGCTGTAGAAGGGTCTCAGATCCCTGTGAACCTGGGCCGCACAGGGCTTTTGTAGAGCACACCTTTGCCTCCTGTGGCTTTAAGTTAGCTGGTAGAATTTGTGGGCCTTCAACCTCATGCCACTAAAGACCCTCTTGATGAAAGTGAAAGAAGAGAATGAAAAAGCTGACTTGAAACTCAACATTTAAAAAGCTAAGATCATAACATCCAGCCCCATCACTTCATGGCAAATAGATGGGGAAACAATGGAAACAGTGACAGATTTCCTTTTCTTGGGCTCCAAAATCACTGTGGATGGTGACTGCAGCCATGAAATTAAAAGACGCTTGCTCCTTGGGAGGAAAACCTAGACAAACCTACGTAGTGTATTAAAAAGCAGAGGCATCATTTTGCCAACAAAAGTGCATATAGTCAAAGCTATGGTTTTTCCAGTAGTCATGTATAGATGTGAGAGTTGGACCATAAAGAAGACTGAACGCTGAAGAATAGATGCTTTTGAACTGTGGTGTTGGAGAAGACTCTTGAGAGTCCCTTGGACTGCAAGGAGATCCAACTAGTCAATCCTAAAGGAAATCAACCCTGAATATTCATAGGAAGGACTGATGCTGAAGCTGAAGCTGAAGCTCCAGTACTTTGGCCACCTGATGCGAAGAACTGACTCACTGGAAAAAGACTCAGATGCTGGGAAAGAGTGAAGGCAGGAGGAGAAGGGGGCGACAAGAAGATGAGATGTTTGGATGGCGTCACCGACTCTATGGACATGAGTTTGAACAAACTCAAGGACATAGCGAAGGCCGGGGAAGCCTGACATGCTGCAGGGGTCACAAAGAGTCAGACACGCCCGAGCAACTGAACAACAGCAACTTCATGCTACTGATTGTATTGCCTGGAAAAACACCCGTTTGGAGGTTTCATGAAATGTGCTCTTTAAGACATTAAGATTCGGGTGACATTTATCATCCCCCCGATGCAGCCAGGCTCTCCCACATCCTGAGTCTCAAGTAGTTTCATCCCAGTGGGGCAGGGTGGGCTTTGATAACTCAGTTCAGACAGATGCTGAGACAGAAGCTCAGAAAGGCAGCAAGAACCAAAGTGGGAATCAGAATTCAGGCTTCTCCCCATCATCTTTTTTTAAATTTTTTTGTTTTAATGGGCTCTGCTAGGTCTTTGTTGCTGAGCAGGCTTTTCCCTAGTTGCAGCGAGTGGGGGCTACCCTAGTTGTGGTGCACACACTTCTCATTGCAGAGGCTTCTCTTGTTGCGGAGCACCAGCTCTGGAGTGTAGGGGCTTCAGTTGTTGCGGTTCCTGGGCTCTAGAGCACAGGCTCAGTAGTTGTGGCACACAGACTTAGTTGCTCCTTGGCATGTGGGATCTTTCTGAACCAAGGATCGAACCCAGATCTCCTGCATTGGCAGATGGATTCTATACCACTGAGTCACCAGGAAAAGCCCTTTCCCCACCATCTTGTATCTGCCTCAGATTCACAGCCCTTTGGGGCCGAAAGGGTCCCGAGTTCCAATAGAAGAGTAACTTGGGCTGCCTGGAGAAAACCCTGAACTCCCAGGCCGCCAACCACATCCCTGGTGTTGTCTATCACAGCTCTGTTTCCTGGGAGGAGCATAGTTGGTGAAGAGCATGGGCTAGAGGGGCAGAGAGCCTGAGTTTGAGTCCCAAGGTGTGAAGAAGGTCTAAAACCTTTCTGTGCGTCTCTTCCGTTATCTGTCAATTGAGGGTGATAAGAGTAGTTACTGTCCTGAGTTGAATAGTGTCACCCCCACCCCCAAATGTACATGATGTAGCTGCTAGCAAGGGCTTCCCTTGTAGTTCAGTCAGTAAAGAATCTGCCGCAGTGCAGGAGACCCTGGTTCGATCCCTGGGTTGGGAAGATCCCCTGGAGAAGGCAATGGCAACCCCTGGAAAATCTCTTGGACAGAGGAGCCCGGTGGGCTGCAGTCCATGGGGTCGCAAAGAGTCGGGCACGACTGACCAACTAACACTTACTGGCTTACTTAGCTGCTAGCAAGGGGCATCCAGGATTGGTAACAACCTTAAGAAATTAGAAGAGGCCAAGAAAGATTCTCTCTGAGAGCCTGCATAGGGTGCGGCCCTGCCAGCACTTTAATTTGGATCTTCTGGCCTCCAGAATTGTGAGACGGTAAATGTCTCCTGTGTTGAGGCCCTCAGTCTGTGGTCCTTTGATGTGGCAACCTGGGGAAAGGAAAGCAAAACCCCGTCAGGATGTTGGGAACACGGTACCTGTTCTTCCTGCTAATTTTTTCCAGTGACACTGTATTCCTTGCTGGGTGTCCTAAGGCTCCATGTCCTCCTTTATATCTTTCCTTTTCCTTGAAAGTCTCTTCTTTTGACTTTGCCATCTTGCCAGCCTTTCATGACTCCCCTCTGGCATTAGCGCCTCCAGACAGCCTTCTCTGACAGCAGGTCACCCCCTCCCACCGCAGCCCCTTGTGAGTTAGGGAGTGCTCAAAAGTCAGACTGTTGTGGATTTGACACTGAGAAGCTTGTTGAACTCTAATTAGCACACTCAGCTGCAGTTTCCTTGCAGTTGAAGAAGGTTGTGCTATTTAGTCACTAAGCTGTGTCTGACTCTTTACGACCCCTTGGACTGTAGCCCACCAGGCTCCTCTGTCCATGGGATTCTCCAGGCAGGAATACTGGAGTGGGCTGCCATGTCCTACTCCAGGGGAGGGCTTCCCTAGTAGCTCAGTTGGTAAAGAATTTGCCTACCATGCAGGAGACCCCGGTTTGATTCCTGGGTTGGGAAGATCCGTTGGAGATGGGATATGCTATCCATGCCGGTATTCTTGGGCTTCCCTTGTGGCTCAGCTGGTAAAGAATCCGCCTGCAATGCAGGAGACCTGGGTTCAATCCCTGAGTTGGGAAGATCCCGTGGAGAAGGGAAACGCTCCCCACTCCAGTATTCTGGCCTGGAGAATTCTATGGACTATATAGTTCATGGGGTCTCAAAGAGTCAGACAGGACTGAATGACTTTCAGTTTCACTCCAGAGGACCTTTCCAGATCAGGGATCAAGTCCATGTCTCCTGCACTGGCAGGCAGATTCTTTGCCACTGAGTCACCAAGGAACCCCTATATGGACAGTGTGAATACCTGATCAGCAGGTGAACCTGATCCAGCTCTTCCATGGTGCCAATGTGGAGGGACTGTGGCATAGCCAGCACTGCTCCCGCACCAGGATTTCAGATCCAATCCTTGAACCTAGGAGTGGGGAGGCAGTGAGGGGCTGCCCTTTTTGTTCTTTGAAGTGTCGGTCTGAACGTTCTCCCCTCTGTCACTCAGGTGTGCATCGTGCAGAAGCGAGACACCAAGAAAATGTACGCAATGAAGTACATGAACAAGCAGAAGTGCATCGAGAGGGACGAAGTGCGGAACGTCTTCCGGGAACTGCAGATCATGCAGGGCCTGGAGCATCCTTTCCTGGTCAATCTTTGGTGAGTGAGTCCCTCCAGGGCTGCTGTGAATGCCTCACGGTGCAGCCAAATGCAAGCATGGGTCTGCCACGGGAATCCTGCATTGTTCAGAGAGGAAATGGAATTGTCTGGGTTCAGATGTTCTTTTGAATATTTCGCTGAGTACGCTTTCCGATGACTGTTGTGTGGAGTACATTTTCTGATGAAATCATTAAGCACATGCTTAATTTTCATTCTATTCTCTTACCTGGTGAATCGGAATTGAAATTGATTTGGAAGAGAAGGTTGTTGTGTTTGAGAACACAGATAAAATGTTTTAAGAGGGTGCCAAGTGGAAGTCTTCTAAGGGAATTTATTGAAAATCACCCCCATGATGTTGATGGCAAGAAGGACTTCTGGGAGCTGATGTTTTACTCCACTCTGGATGGCTGCCTGGTGATTCTGATTTCTGAATCTGGCCCACAGGGCCCAGTTCCATCCATGTTCTGAAACTCTCCATTGCACTGCTGGCTTTTGTCTCTGCTTTGTGTCCTAGATTTGCCACTTTGCCGGTGGTTTCCCTGCCTCTGTGCCTTTGCCTGTGAAGTCTCCTCTTTCTGAGATTTCCACCTCCCCGTCTTCCCAGCTTCCTCCTACCAAATGCCTCAGACGGGCATTTCTGTGGGGAAGTGTCATATATTAGAGGCTGGTAACAAGTGTGTGTCTGTCATATCTCCAGCCATACAAGTACTTCAGTTATTTGGGGGAAATAAAACTGCTTCATGTTTTCATTGCTACGCAAGAGAATTTTTGTAATTTATTTTTTATTGAGGGGACATTTGGTTTATTAACACTATATTAGTTTCATGTGCGCCGCCTTATATTTCTGTATCCACTCCAGTGTGCTCATCACCAAAAATTAAACGTCCATTCATCACCATGCAGTTGATCCCCTTTGATTTCATACTCCCGACCCTGCCCCTTTCCCTCTGATAACCACTCTGTTCTCAGCGTTTATGTGTTTGTTTTCGATTATCTGGTTTGTTCATGTATTTTTTGTTTGTTTTTTATATGCCACACGTGAGTAAAATCATATAGTATTTGTCTTTCTCCATCTGATCTATTTCGCTTACCACAATACCCCCAAAGTCCATCCATGTTGTTGCAAATGGCAAAATTTCATCTGTATTTGTATGGCAGAGTAGTAATCAGTTATATATATGTGTGTGTGTGTGTGTGTATATTACATACACACCACATCTTCTCCATTCATTCATCTGTTGATGGGCTGTTAAGTTATTACCATATCTTGGCTACGATAACATAGTTTTACAAATATCTTTTGAATGAATATTTTTGTGTTCTTTGGATAAATACCCAGGTATGGGGTAGCTGGATCATATGGTAGTTATATTTTTAATTTTTTGAGGAACCTCCAGACTATTTGCACAGTGGCTGCACCATTTCTGATCAGAAAAGCAGTATAGGTTCATTGCAAAATGCCGAAAATGATGTACATAAGAAGGCAATAGGGCTTCCCCAGTGACACAGTGGTAAAGAATCCACCTGCCACTGCAAGAGACGTGGACTTGATCCCTGGTCAGGAAGATCCCCTGGAGAAGGAAATGGCAACCCACTCCAGTATTCTTGCCTGGAAAATCCCATGGACAGAGGAGTCTGGTGGGCTACAGTCCATGGGGTTGCAAAGAGTCAGACAGGATTTAGAAAATAAACAACAACAACAAAAAGGAAATACTTATCTAGAATCCTACCACCACCAGGTTGTATTCTGGTGTCTAATTCTTTTTTTATAGGAAGTCCCTACATATGAATGAATATCTTTCTTAGAATGCATTCGTAAGTCCAGTTTGTTCATAAATCCAACAAAGTTAGCCTCAGTACCCAACTAACACAATCAGCTGTATGATAGTGTACTGTAATAGGTTTTATTTCTTTATTTTTTTTCATTTATTTTTATTAGTTGGAGGCTAATTACTTTACAATATTGCAGTGGTTTTTGCCATACATTGACATGAATCAGCCATGGATTTACATGTGTTCCCCATCCCGATCCCCGTTCCCGCCTCCCTCCCCATCCCATCCCTCTGGGTCTTCCCAGTGCACCAGGCCTGAGCACTTGTCTCATGCATCCAACCTGGGCTGGTGGTCTGTTTCACCCTTGATAGTATACTTGTTTCAATGCTGTTCTCTCAGAATATCCCATCCTCGCCTTCTCCCACAGAGTCCAAAAGTCTGTTCTGTACATCTGTGTCTCTTTTTCTATTTTGCATATTGGGTTATCATTACCATCTTTTAAAATTCCATATATATGCGTTAGTATACTGTATGGGTCTTTATCTTTCTGGCTTACTTCGCTTTGTATAATGGGCTCCAGTTTCATCCATCTCATTAGAACTGATTCAAATGAATTCTTTTTAATGGCTGAGTAATATTCCATGGTGTATATGTACCACAGCTTCCTCATCCATTCATCTGCTGATGGGCATCTAGGTTACTTCCATGTCCTGGCTATTATAAACCGTGCTGCGATGAACATTGGGGTGCACGTGTCTCTTTCAGATCTGGTTTCCTCGGTGTGTTGTAATAGGTTTTAAAGTACTTTTCACACATTATTTCTTAAAAACAACACAAAAGTAAAGGAAACATTTTTAATCTTATAGTGCCATCTTGACAATGTAGTAGTATAGGACAACAGCTGGCGCAGAGGGGCCGGCATTGAGTGAATAGTACCCATTTTACAGATGGGGTAATTGAGTCCCACCACTAGTAGATGGACGAGATGGGACTTGAATCCAGACAGTCTGACTTCATGGCCCACACTTGCAGCCCTTCTACCACGGCTGCTGTTAGAAGGCCCTGGCCCTTCCCTTCTTTGCCTACTGCTCCCCCTTCCTCCCTGCACAGAGCGCCTCCTGCGAGGCTTCTGTTTGGCTGCTCTGTCACCCTGCTAGCAGGGAGCATGGTGTGGAATTGCTTATCAGGCTCATAAGGACGGCATGGCTTTGAATTAATTACACGTCAGCTTTTCATCTCATTACACGGAGGGTGAATTACCACGGCCTTGGAGCGCCTGACTGCTCCCCTTCTCATTCCTCTCTTTTGCTGACATGCTCTATGACTGGCAGAGGCAAAGACCAGGCACTGATTAGTTTTCACAACAGTTTGGCCTCTAGAGGATGAATGATGGGTGCTCCCAAGCCTGTGACGATCCAGGTTGAGTGCAATATTTTCACCTGTTCTGAAGCAAAGCTGTGCTGCTCTCTGGGGCTTCAGACGACTGAAGCAAAGGAAAAAGGCGATGAAAAATCCCACCCCAAACAGAGGAGTCATGCAGTAGTGGGAGCCCTGGAGAGGCAGGGCGTGGGAGCGGAGGGGAGGGGAGAGATGAGGCGGACAGTTCCAACACTCAGGCTCTGGGGTCCGATCTCCCAGGTTCTAATAACAGCTCTGCCTCTTGTAGGTGAAGAGGCTGCTATGGACTGAATTGTATTTCCTCCCCCCCCCTCCCCCCTCCCCACAAAAATTCATATATTGGTGCCCTAACTCCCAGTGTGACTGTATCTGGAGACAGGACCTTTCGATGGCTAGTAAGGTTAAATGAGGTCATTAGGGCAGAGCCCTAATCCAATGTGATCTTTCCTTGTCTGCTTTCCTGGGGGCTCAGATGGTAAAGAATCTGTCTGCAATGCAGGAGACCTGAGTTCCATCCCTGGGTTGGGAAGAGCCCCTGGAGAAGGGAATAGCAACCCATTCTAGTATTCTTGCCTGGAGAGTTCCATGGACAGAGGAGCCTGGCAGGCTACAGTCCATGGGGGTCACAAAGAGTTGGACATGACTAAACAACTACCACCATTAATCCAAAAGGATGGTAGCCTTGTAAGAAGATGGAGAAATTTCGAGTCTCTGCCATGTGCGGACAGAGCAGGAAGGGGGCTGCCTGCAAACCAAGAAGAGAGCCCTCACTGGAACACGACCATGCCTGCATCCTGATCTCAGACCCTGATCTTGGGCTTCCGACCTCCAGAATTGTGTGGGAATACACTTCCACTGCTTCAGTCTCCCAGGTGGTGGTGGTTTTGTTATGGCAGCCTAAACAGACTAATACAGATGCCTTGAGAGTGACTTGAGTCTCCCTTCTGTGTCTCCATTGCCTTCTTTGGAAAAGTGAAAAGGTGATCACATCATAGGGTTGCTGTAAAGACCAAACAGGGCAGTATTAATACATACAAGCATCCCCACAGTCCTGGACTTGAGGTGGCTGCTGGGTCAGGGACCTGCTGTTGGTAGGATTAGCACTTGTCCTTCACATCAGCTTTGGGAAGGCTGGACCAATTCTCTCCTCATCTAGCAGTGAACATGAGGACATGCTTGCTGACTGTTAGAAGATGGGTTGAGTTTTTAGTTTTAAAGACTATTGTCTCGATAAATGGTAGGGGGGAGGTAGTTTGTATGTATTTTCAGACTGTATTTTCAAAATCCAGTTCTACTTACCAGATTGACTATATTTACTAGACTGTGAAATGTTCTATTTACAGCTGGGCAGGTGCCTCCCCTGCCCTGCTTGCTGTTGAAGTAACTGTGGAGATGGAGGGATGGATACCTGGTAGGACAGGATGAGAACAGATACCTGCAATTAATTTAAACAGTTCTCATAGAAAGTGTTGTTTCTAGAACTTTCCCTGAGTAGTGAATGGCTGAATCAAGACACAGGTCTCTAACAGGCCACTGGAAGCCAAGAAAGAACCGCTTAAATTAGTGGCTAGTTTTTCTTCTGCATTGAGACCTTTGATTCGAGTAAAACTACATAAGGTGTTGAAAGGTAGAGCTGATCTGTCCGAAGCAGTGGGCAGGAAAGAAGGTTGTAGAGAGGACAGGGACAGGAGGTCCCTTGGGGAACCTCTGATGAAGGACAAAAACCTGTACAGGGTTTCCCTGATGGGCTCGGTGGGAAAGAATCCGCCTGCAGTGCAGGAGACACCAGAGACATGGGTTCGATCCTTGGGCCGGGAAGATCCCCTGGA